AGTGCATGGGGTCCCCCTTCCTTCGGCTGCCGCGGGAACACGCTCCAACAGGCCCACGCTAGCAAACCCCGGCCACGCCCTGCCCTCCGCTCACCTTGCCCGAGCTGCGGATCCCCTTTAACATGCACAGGAAGATGACGATCCAGGCGACCAACAAGCATATGGCGAGCGGCCACCTCACCGGGCCCGGGTCGTGGAGGCCAGAGCTGTGCGTCACCCCCAGCAGCTGCTCGCTGCATGGCACAAGCGCAGGTTAGAGACCCGCGGAGCCAGCCTGCACTGAACACAGGGGGTCGCCCCCCACCCCCTGCGGACCAGAATGGGTGTTAAATCCTGCCACCGTGCCCACTACCAGATCCCTTTGCCCCCTCCTGGCTTCATACCTGTCTCCTACGTTGGCCACAGCTTCCCACCCACCAGCCAGCCCCCTCCTACTCATGACATGGGCCTACATCGGGCATGCTAGGCCCGCTACCCCCACAGCCAGTTTGCCAGCACTGGGGTCTCTAGCGGCTTGAGGCAGGGACCTGGTCTCCGTGTGAGCTGTCGAGAGTGACACTGACAATGCGGAGACATGACAGTATTGCAGGCGATGCTTCCTCCAAACCCAGCCTGGAGAGGAGCTTACGGCTTCAGCCCCAGTGCCAGGGTAGGGGGTATTCTCTCGTGCATTGTGCGCCCTGTGACAGTGAGTTCCACAGCTCCACGCAGGGGGATTCCCTTCATGCAACTGTTTTTCCCGCCACGGAGTCCTGGCCCCTTATCCCAGCACCCCGCTGACTGCAGTGCCCCCAGTGCCGAGAACGGAGCTAGCAGAGGCAGTCCCCGAGCGGGCGGAGGTGGGTGAGGCTCCCACGGGAGCACAGGGGCTCCGTGGGTGAGAGGGAGAGCGCCAGGCAGGTTGGGACCTGCAGCGAGCAGGGAAGGGCGGTGAATCAGTCTCAAACGCAAACACCGTAATGCAGCCACTCACTTCCAGAAGGCCTCGCTGGCGCTGAACCGACTGGAGTTTCCTGATGCGTTCTGCAAGACACAGAGCGGGCTGGTCACCAGCTCCACCACCCTACACCAGCCACCCCCAGGCAGACGCTTCCTCCCTGTTCCTTGTCCCACAGCACAGAGCGGCCGGCTCCCCAGAGAGCTCGGCTCCTAGCAGTCCTGGCCTGACTGCTCGCTGCTGCCCCCACAGGGCCAAGGCAACACCTGCGGGAGGCTCTCCGTGGGCACTGGATCAGGCCCAGTGTTTGCTAAAGGACACAGCCGGTGGCCTCTTGGTTTGGCCTCTGCCCTGCATCTCACAGCCTGCTCCTCCTCTTCCCTCACCTGCCCCGGGGACTGGGCATGGGAGGGGCCCACTGGGCTGGAGACCCCCTCTGTCCAGGTGAGGAACAGGGCTGGGTAGCTCCTGTAGGCGGTTCCTATCTCCTCTGTAGCCGGGAACCAGCCTGCACCACGGGGTGGGGTCCCTGCAGGATGCTGCTTGGGGGGGGGGTCACCTGCACCTCCCCAAACAGCAAGAGGCCCCAGAGGGAACAGCAGCATCCTCGCACTATGGCTGGCTGGCCCCACCTCCTACAGTAGCCGTGCCCCGGGCCCAACAGCCGCACATCCAGAGGCCCTGGCTGGCCCGGACAGATGCCCCCTCCTAGCCCACCCACAGCAGCACGAGGAGCAGCGCCTGGCCAAGCCGCCTAGTTGAGGGGAATAACCCAGCCGCCCCGGTGGAGCGGCCGTCCGGGAGGAAGGAGACAGACCTGGCAGAGGGGGGACGTTCTGTGGAGCGTCGCAAGACCAGGGCAGGGGGCTCTGGAAGGACATGCCCAGGTAGTAGAAAGTCCAGGCGATGATGACGTTATAATAGAGCGACACCAGCGAGGAGACGAGCAGCATGCCCACGCCGATCCCTGCAGGGAAGGAAGGGAGGAAGGTGCAGTTGACGCCAGCCCTACTTGCTCACCCACCCCCTGGGCCTCGATAGGGATCGAAGCTGGGCCCTTTGGCATTCACAGCCGGCATGTCTGCTGTACGGCAGTGGTGCCTCTGGGCCTCCGTCGCTGAGCGGGGCCCCCAGCGCTCCGTGTGGCACAGGAGAGAGACAGCTGCTGCCCCGAAGCGTTCACACGTCACTCATGGATGGATGGAGTGGATGGAGACAGGCGGGGGGTGCACGAGCCAAGAGTGTGAGTGGTGCTGGGCGTCTCTCCCTCACACGCTTGCACTGAATGGCGTGGGGCTGGAGCAAGGACCTGCTGCCCGAAACCTGCTGCCCAGTGGGTTTCTCTGGTGTATCAAGGTGGACGACTGAGGAGACGATCAAGAGAGAGTTTTGCTCTGTGAGCCTAGAGCCTCCTCATGTGAAGAGTCCCCACCCAGTCCCACTCCCACGGGTCTGGCGGGGGGAAGAGCTGGAGACAGTCGACAGCTTGGCTGAGCACCACAGCTCTGCTTGGGAACCATCTGCTGCGGAGAACGCTGACGGCGCCGGAGACCTCCAGCACTTTACAGCCATTAGAGCAAGAAGGACGCTCTCGAGGCTAATGCACAGGGCAGGAAGTCAGGAGCCCGGGCTCTGTGCCCAGCCTTGCCAGTCATTTGTGGGACTTGACGTTCCCAGGTGCCCAAAGCCTGGTGGATTTCGTGGGGGCTGCCATGCTGGGCACATCTGGGAGGTCAGGCCAGGCCATTGGCCTCTCTGGGCAATGGAGACAACAGACACTCCTCCCAGGGGACCGTGAGGGCAGATTCTTTAGTGCTTTGAAATCCTCCAGGGACAGGGGAGGAGAAGCTGGGTTTTGTGTTACAGCCTATGGGGCGGGCTGCTCAGAGCTGGGGGTCTCAGAGAGGGCTGCAGTGAGGAGAGGGCGCCGACCTTGAAAAGCAGTTCAAGGAGGCATTTCCTGGTGCTTGAGACAGTGCGGAGACAGCTGGGGGAGTGGATAGACCTAGCCTGGAGGCTGGGGAGGGCTGTGCTAAGGGATGTGGTCAGATACGGGGAGGGGGTGGAGTTCTGCCAGGCCTGGACGGGGCAGACAGGCAGTTTGAACTGGACTCGGTGAAGGAGGGATCTAGAGCGGGAGGTGACGTGGTCAGAGCGAGAGGCAGAGGACCTTGTCCACTGTGGTTTGTGGGTGACGGAGAAGAAGACTGTGTCCAGGGGCCAGAAGTGGCTGGGGAGGCAAGACGTACAGGGCTGGCTCTCCCCACGCCCTGCTCATTCAGGGGAGTGGGACGCTGCGCCAGGCACGGACTCACCTTTCAGCAGGGGGCAGCACTTCCAGACGGTGATGGGCCCTGCAGCGCCGTACTGGCCGAGGCTGAGCTCCAGCAGGAACAGGGGCAGGCCGGTGAAGAGCAGCATGACGAAGTAGGGGATCAGGAAGACCCCTGCGGAAGAGGGAGCAGACACGGTTAGCAAGGAACTGGGACGGAAGGAGGCAAGAACTCGGATACTCAGCCACAGGGAAGGGGCAGAACAGAGACCCTGCCTCTCAGGAGCCCACAGCTGGTGGGAGAGCCAGCGGCCAGGGCAGAACAGGCCTGACTGCCACACCCTGACAGCCAGGTTGTGGCTGGGGAAACCTAGCGCCGAGGCAGCACGTTCAGCTCCAGCCGCTGGTGACCTCGGCACAGGGTGCATTCCTGCTTTACCCCGCCATGCGGAAGGCACATTTGACGCAGGGAAATCACGTGTCTGGGTTGAGACACTGAAGCGTGGGGCAAAACAGGTCCCAACCCCCCGGGACTCCACCCAGCCAGCCTCCCCCTGCTCCTTCCGACACTGACAGCCAGGAGCTCTTCCCCCGCCATTGAAAAAGGATCTGTAGGCGGATGAATGACAGCCTGTCAGAGCAGCACACAAACCCCACCCAACCAGGGGCTCTGCTTCTTACCCAGCTC